AATGATTTACTCCTCTGGAAATGAGAACCACACCTGCCAGCGGACTGATAGTGGAGAAACTACCTGTGTGTACAAGCTTCCTATGAGCAACCTGAGCTCTGATGATGCTGGAACCTACTACTGTGTTGTGACGTCCTGTGGACATTCACAGTCTGGAAATGGGACCAGGATTATTATTCATAGTAAGATAGAAAGTGGAAGATTTCTTCCTTTCCTCAAAAAGCTTCAGCTTTTTCAAAATGCAGTTTTGTGCAACTCCCACATTTCATAATAGCTACCACAATATGTAATAATTCATTACAAAATATGGGAAAATGTATTGCGTGTTGGGTTCAGGGTGTTTATTACAAAATGTGACAAACTTGAGATGAACACAGACTAAAGGAGCTTCGTGATGCACTTTTCTTTGTTGCATTAGACAAAAGCGCCTGCCAAATAAATGTAATGAAATGTCTGATCTTTTCTGGATTCCCAGGTAACATGGACCATAGACGTGATTTTCCTTGGACATTGGAAATATTTGTTGTTGTCACTGTCACCCTGGGTTTTTTACTGGCTCTCTTAATGTGCATGATCATGAAGAAAAACAGCTTTCACTGTACAGGTAACTGGTACTGTTGGTATCTATATTGTGTCTTCATTGAGCACTACATACATACAAGAAGGGTTTTTCTTTGTTTTTCAGAATCTTATTCTTCAGCTTGCTCCACAACCCCAGCAGAGGTATTTACTATTAAAATTAATATTTCTATTTCATTTACATTATTATTTCTGTCATATTCAATACGATATTCTGATGTATTGTTTGTCATGTCTAGGGTTACCAAGATGAAGATAATGTCCAACACAGTGCTTTAAGGAAGAAGAAGATCAACAGATCAAAGAGACAGAGAGATGAAACCTGGAGCGAATGCGTGTACTACTGTGTAAAGAAGAGCTGAACATGGTTCATCTTTGTCTCTGTATAACAGGACATGAGTGCTTATTAGTGTATCTTTTTATGCTTTGTCTGCCTTATTTCATCTAAACATGATCATTGTAAAGTCTTACCCTGCCATGAACACATAAAACTTAACTTTTCTAAAGATAATGCTCTAAGTGCAATTATTTCCACTGCCTTTGTGCCACTACGTTGCAAGAGACTTACCTCAGTGGTTCTGGTGCTGATAGCTCATGATTTCCTGACAGCAAAATGAGCACTAACACCACAATTAGTGCTATCCACACACTAGACAGTCTGTACTTTTTGTCATTGTGCATTTGTGGTTTCAAGCAGGATGTCTCTGTAGAAGCAACCAACTGATGTTAAAGTAGATAAACTTTTTGTGACCTTTTTAGAATCAAACTAATACAGCTAGGTTAGTGATGCTGTGTGCCTGTCATAATGGAAATTTACTTCAATAAGATTATCACATGTCAACAGTCAGTACAAATGCAGCTACATGCTAGCAGGAACAAAGGTAGCGTTTTCTGCCAGTGGCTGTTGAGGGCTGTGACATCAACTCCAGGACCTCAATAACTATGTGTATGCACTCACCAACCACTTGTATTATCTGCTAGCGTAGTAAGTAACAATTTGAACTGACAGGACGAGATGGTACAAATTATGAATATTTAGGTTTAAAAAATTCTTGAAGTAAAGCTAAGAAAAGGCTCTTTACAATCAGTGCATTGTATGAAACTGAAAGATGACTGTTGCACTCATTTAAACACCTGTGGTTTCTAGATGAGGGGGCCTCATATTCTCTGACGGATCTGGTAGGAAGTGATTTTTGCTTTAGAGTACATAAACGTAGGTATCCTTTTGGTCAATAAGGCATAGCAGAGACCAGGAAGCTTAATACAATAGAATTAGGATAAATTCTATATAACCTTAGTTAATCTCATTTAGATCAATATGTGTTTTGCAAGACAGACCTTACAGCAGGTAAAAAACATAACATATCCAGACAAACAGAGCAGATATACATACTAAGAACTGTTAAACTGTCGGTGAGCAGCGGTTTTACATTTGAGGAGTGATATACTGAGGCAGCATTTGCAGGATACTTTTATAAATAAAACTATGTGGAATTATGGGTGTCTGAGAATATAACACATTTTGTCCTATTGACATTCAGTACAAGATGGATAATATGCAGAGATATCTGAAGAATGTGAAAGGCAGATTGTAATGCATTAAAAACAATATAAGTCAGGGCTGCACTGATAATAT